CAGCACTGAAAATGCTCCTTGGGCAGCACCACTGCCCCTCCAGCCGATGCAGGGGCTGGATTTTGGATTTCCCACCCCACCGGGACTGCAGCGAGTGCTGGGTCCAGCTTTACCAAAGCACCACAACTTTCCAAGGCAAGGCACGACTCGGGGCAGCGTTTTCCTGTGGCAGCAGCGCTTTGCTCAGCACGTGCAGGAGGATTTCCCTGCGCCTTGGAGCTCTGCCCGGGAGCCTTTCCGTGACAGAGCTGCTCCGAGCTCCCCTCCCTGCAATCAGAGCTCAAAGCCTGCTTTTCTGTGCCCCTTGTGCTTTTCTCGCCGTCATGTGCCTTTCGGTTCCTCTTTTCACCTTCCAGACGTTTCCCCTTTTTCTTTCCTTTGGAATTTTTTTTTAATTTCTCCCCCTGTCGCGTTTTGGGTTCGGAGGGTCTGGCGGCACCCGGGGCTCTCTCCCTGCCCGGGAGGGTTTGGCAGCGCTGGGGTCCAGGGAAGGTCTCCCCAGGAGTTCCAGGAGTCCCATGAAATTCCTTCCGTGGGGAATGGACAGGCTGGAGGTGTCTCCAGCAGGGAGAGCCCTCATTCCCTGCAGGACCCGGCAGAGGAGGCGTCACTCCTCCCTAAAACTCCTCCGAAACCCTCTGAGAGAGAGAAACTGCCGTGAACTCGAGCAGCTCTGAACAAAGCCCAGTGTTTCCAGTTGTGCTCTGCACCTTTGGGCATTCTTGGAGGAGATGGGGTGTCCTTAGGTGCTCCATAACCTTTGCATGAATGGCTCCTTTTCTCTGCATAAGCACATTCTTGCAGGAGTGTTGGGCTTTCATTCTGCTCTGCCCCAACCCTCGGACTCCTCTGTTCACTTGTTTAAATCAAGCATAAAGCTCTAACTGTTCTTTGAATATTTATGACCAGTTTTTATCTCATGCCATGCATACAAAACATACTTGATTCCTTTCCTAAAAGTTTTTTCAAGTGCAAAGTTTTAAAAACATGTGGCTTTTATTGCAGGCAGGAATGAATAACAGCATTCCACCCATAACCACATTAAATGGAACAGTAATATTCATATGCGTAAGGGCAAAAGCTGCCTTGTTTCCTATTTGCAGCCGAACTCTGAAATTAATTAAGAACTAAGAGGATCTGACAGTCATTAGGATCCTTTAAGAAGGAGTGGAAGTGGCAGATGGGACCCACGCTCCAGAAGCGCGGCCGCGCTATCAATAGCGCAGAGGATGCTCCGTGCTCCTCCTCGCGGGGCTGCCGCGGCCGGGCCAGAGCCCCGAACAATGAAGAATGGCACTTTCGTGACTTCACAACCGCAGCGCTCACGTCAATCGCACTCGTGCTCCCGAGTCACTTTCGCAGCTTTTGAAAGCCCCGTCTGCTCCCGGGGCGCTGCGCACGCCCGGGCGGTTCGTGCCACGCCCGCGGCACGGCTCGCCTGCTGCCGGGACACCGGGTCCGGCTGTCCCCGGGAGTGACAAACGCCCCAAGGGCAGCGGGATCGCTCCTGGATCCCCCGAGCCAGCCCGGGCTGCCACAGCTCCCGCCCGAGCGCAGCGGGCGCAGAGTGTCCCCTGGGGATGCTGCTGGAAATGAGGGCTGGTACAAAAGCTGCAGGGCTCAGGTGGGGACAGGTGGGAGCCCCAAAGCTGTCAGGAGTGTCACTGATGGCGATTTCTCCAGCGCAGCCTTTTGTAGGCACTCAGGTGCTGCCGAAAGACACCCGGACCCCTGCAGCCAGGTGGGAACCTCAGACTGATTTTCCCTGCTGAGAGCATCTCAAACTCCGGCTGAAGCCTCGCTCCTGCTGCTCTGCTGCTGCCCCAAGCGAGGATCTCAGCGCCAGAGTGTCCACACTCGAGGTGGGACCGGGCAGCTGCGGCTCCCGGGGCTGTCTTGGCTCAGGATCCCACCTCAAGCAGCATCCCTGGCACTGGGGCTGAGCAGGGCCCCCACTGCGGCACCCCCGAGCCCAGGGCACAGCAGAGCCCGGGGCAGCCCCCGGAGCCGTCCTGGATCCGCTCTGGCAGCTGCTCCCTGCCCAGGAGGAGATTTCCCTGATTTATGTCAGGGCAGCCGCTGCCCTTTCTTTCCTCCGCCAGTTTCCCCTCATTCCTCCCCCTGAGCCCCGCAGTTTCCTCCCGCAGGAGTCTCTGCCCCCAGAACTGCCCCGGGGGAGCCCGTTCGAGCAGTGACACTCAGGGGTTAAAAACTGCCACCACCGTGCACCCCATTGGCCCCGGCATCTGCTGTTTGATTTATGAATGAATTGCACGCTCCCTCCCTGCGTGCTGCTCTCAGATCCCCTTCCTTGAGCTACAAAATAGATCCAGACACCCGCCTGGCCCTACTGAGTGCCGAGCTCCTGAGAGTTTGCGATGAATTTTTAATAGAAAGCTTCCTCTGAGCCTCTGCTCTCGCTGCTCTGCTGTCGAAACGAGCGGCTCTGCTGCTAAAAGAGCAGCTCAAATGAATTAAAAACTACAGAGGAGCCTGTAAGGGAAGTAATGCCAGCGAGGAATGATTTAAAGAGCTGCTGACCTCCCCGCGATGCGAACAGTAGCTTTTGAGTGTTTGTAAAGAGGCCCATGCAAATCCTGGGTCTGATACTCTATTAACCTCCTCGGGAGCGCGGGGAGGGCGGTGTTGGGATAATCCCCACGTGTCGACATCTCCTGGTTTGCGGAGGACCAGAGCAGCTGCATCCTGCTGTGTTGGAAAAGCAGAATTCAAATGAAAACTCCTTCCTCCTGCTCGGGCACAGCTCCGCGGGTCCCCGGAGCTCTGGGGTGGTTTTCTTGGCTGGACACCTCTCGCAGGAGCAGCCACGGGGTTGATTCGCTGCGCTCTGCCCCTCGGAAGGTCCCCAGACAGTTTTGGGTTTGCGGGCACCCTGGTTTGTCGGAGCTCTGTGGTTTGGGTCTCATCTTTGCACTGCTGCGAGTCAGCAGCTACGTGCAGGGCCCTGCTGTGGGTTGTGGGGTGAGGCTGCACCCCGACACCCCGAGGGGACAGCAGGGCGGGGGGAGGGCAGAGAGCGCGGAGAGGGAGGATTTGGGCAAGGCAGCAGGACGTGGTACCCAGCACACCTGGGGATGCGGCTGGGAGCGACTCGGGAGGTGCTTGGAGGAATCCAGGTGATGCCTTCAGCGCCAACAGGTGGCTCCCGGTGTAAAAAAAAGAGATCAGAGAAATGTGCGTGCATGGCGGGGCTGTGACAGCCGCCGGATAGAGCGGTGAAGGCAGAAAACCACCGCTCCTGCTGCAGGGACCCAGCCCCAAATCACCCCAAAGGGCGAGCGGCCCCAGCGGGGCTCCCCCTGCCCGTGTGGGACCCCTGTCCTCCTCGGCCCCGGGCGGGGACAGGTGACACCGCCAGGGTCGCGCAGGACGGGGCGGGGACAGAGCAGGGGCAGCCCCGGGGGTCGGGAAGGGGCGGGCAGGGGGGGGGGGTCGGGATGGTGGGGGGGGGTCCATCCCATCCCATCCCATCCTATCCCATCCCATCCCGTCCCAGCCCGTCCCGTCCCGTCCCGTCCCGCCCCGGCGGAGCCCCGGTGCCAACCCGCGGCCGCACGGCGGAACTACAGCCTCGCCCCGCGTGCCCCCCGTTCACCCCTCCGTGCCCCCCCCGCGGTACCGGGGGCACCGGGACGGGCCGTGCCCGACCCCCGGCAAACCCCGGCTCCGCCCGCGGCCCTGCCCCCGTCCCGCGGGTTCTGCGGGTTCCTCCCGCTGGCGAACGGGGGGTGAAAAGTAGAACTGAACCGGCGGCCGCTTTCACCTAAAAAGGGCAGAATTTGAGGGCCGGTAGGGGCGGGGGCCGGCCCTGCCCGCGGGGCTGGCGGGGCTCGACGGTCCCGGTGTGGATCCCGGTGGTTGCCGCGGTGTAACGGGAGCTGCGGGCCGGGAGCCGCCGCTCCTCGGTTAAAAATAATATGTATTTATTGTTGCTGTTGATTATTTCTGGAGGAGTACCGGGGTTTCTGGGGCTGGCAGAGCCCGGCCCGGGCTTGCCCCTCGAGGCACGGCGGCTCGCGGAGGAAAATGGTTCATTACCGAGTGCAAGGAGGATTTTCTGGTGTTGGGCTTTATTTTGGCTGGTTTTAAGGAAATTTGCGTTTCACACCGGGCAGAGCGGAGCCGGGAACGCCGCGGCCCGGGCGGCTCCTGTCGGATGGACAGTGCCGGTCTGCAAACACCGTAGGACCGAGCCGGGCACCGGGAAACACCCGGGGAGCAGCGCGGGCACAGCAACCTCCTCCTCCTCCTCTCCCCCGGTTCTGCCCCCATGCCCCGGCCCGCCCCGCGGTTCGGGGCACCCGCGGGGCTCAGGGAGCCGCCGCCTTCGTTGTGTTTGCTGCCGCAGAACCGGTGGCTTCGCCACGAATTTTCTCGCCAACGGATTCCGGCCGGAGCCGCCGGCCCTGCCCGCAGCCGCAGCCCCGGGGGAGCTGCCGGGAGCGCCGGGGGCTGCGGGCGCCCCGAGACCGCCAGCGATGAGGCGGGTCACGATTTTGGGGAGGGCAGAAGGAGGAGGTTTGGGGACGGCGGTTTTCAGCGCAGCCCGAGAGGCGAATCCCCCCGCCGGGGACGCGAGTGCCGGTGCTCCCCGTGGAGCACCGAGGTCCCGTCACCGCGGGGAGGGCGCGGGCGGCGGCGGGGCCGGGCTGTGTCCTCAGCCGCTCCGGCCCCAAACCGGCCCCACCGCACCCCTCCTCCTCCCCGGCGGCGGCGGCGGCGGCGGCCAGAAACCACCGGAGCCCCGACGTGCGCCCCGCGGGGGCGTGTCCTGCACAGACCACGCCTCTTTCTCAATAACCACACCTACTCATGTACTAACCACGCCTCTCTGCACATAACCACGCCCTCCACCCCGCGGGATAGCGCTGGTGGGCGGGGCCAGGACGCATCTCGGGGCTCTCATTGGTGAAGCCGCCCGTCCGTCACGGCCGCCCCGCCCCGCCGGGGCCGGCAGTAAATACGGTACCGGGCGGCGCGGCGGGGCCGGCAGCGGGGCTCGGGCTCGGCACGGGAGCCGGCAGCGGGGCTCGGCACCGGGAGCAGCACCGGCAGCGACACCGGCACTCGGCACGCAGCGCACCCACCGGCGGCGAGCCCCGGAGCCGCGCGGGACCCCATCCCCCGCGCCGCCGTCCCCCCCGCGCCGCCCCGCCGAGGACGGCGCTCCGCCGGCACGGAGCGAGGCAGCGCGGGGCTCGGCCGCCACCTCCCCCGCCGCCCGCCGAGCCCCGCCGGGTGCCCGCCCGTCCCGCCCGGCTCCCTGACGCCCGCCGTTGTGATGCGTATTCCCGTAGACCCGAGCACCAGCAGGCGCTTCACTCCCCCGTCCACGGCCTTCCCCTGCGGTAAGATGGGCGAGAACAGCGGGGCGCTGGGGGCCCCCGCGCCGGGCGGCCGCGCTCGGCCCGAGGTGCGCTCCGTCGTGGATGTCCTGGCCGATCACGCCGGCGAGCTGGTGCGCACCGACAGCCCCAACTTCTTGTGCTCGGTGCTGCCGTCGCACTGGAGGTGCAACAAGACGCTGCCCGTCGCCTTCAAGGTGAGTGCCGAGCCCCGACGGGACCGAGCCGCCGGCCGCTCGCCCTTTTCCCCTCCGCCCCTTTCGCTTGAAATCGCTCCTGACATCGCCGCCGAGGGAGCCCGGGTTATTATTTTTAATCAAACAGCCCAGTTTATTATTTTTAATCAAGTCTCCGCATTGCCCCGCGGTCACGGCATCTTAGATATTCCGTACAGTTAGGAGCTCTCAGGCAACTTTGAAGTTTAATGAGCTGGAGGTTAATTACCTTCCTGGGAGAGGGAGAGCGAGGCAGGGAAGGGAGATCTAATCTGCAAAAAGTCGAGCGAAGAGCTGAAGCCCCGGTGGTGCCGGGCTGCGCTGCCCGGGCTCCCCGGGGCACCCCCGGGCTGGGCATCCCCGCTGCCCCCGGGGAAGCCGAAACCGAGCGGGGGAGAAGCGAGGGGAGCGGGGCAGGGAGCCCGGAGGGGTGAGGGGGGCTCTAAACCGGGCTCCCCCGGCTCCGGGCGCTGCTCCCCGGCAGGGGTGAGGGCCTTTCCCCGGTCCCGGCGCTTCCCCGGGCCGGACGCGGAGCTCCGGGGCCTCGCTCGTTTTATTTTGATCCCGAATCCAACAAAATAAACGCACAGATTCCTCCGACGGGGCCGAGGGTGGGCTGACCCCCCCTTCACCCCCTCCCCGCGGACCCCCCGTCTGCTTTTAACCCTTTTCGAGCTCATTTTCCCCTTCCCCCTCCGGTTTTCTCAGCCTTCCTCGGGGGCTCGGGCTGCTTTTGGTTTTGCTTTGGGTTTTGTTTTTTTTTTGCGCGGGTTTAGGGGGGGGAACCGTAGCGCAGGTTGGCTCCGGTGGAGGCTGATTTGAGCCTGAAATGCTCTGGCCCTGCCCTAGGTCGTGGCGCTCGGAGATGTCCCCGACGGGACCGTGGTCACGGTGATGGCGGGGAACGACGAGAATTACTCGGCGGAGCTGCGCAACGCCTCTGCCGTGATGAAAAACCAAGTAGCGAGATTTAACGACCTCAGATTTGTTGGGAGAAGCGGCAGGGGTAGGTACCGGCCAGGAAATGGTTGGTCTTTTTATTTATTTAATTTTTTTTAGAAGAAAAAAAAAAAAAGAAAAAATGTTGCTCTCCTTTCTCGTTATTTTATTATTATGTTTTATAGTTCTTACTTTATTTTTAAATTTTATTTTGTTAGTTTATTTTTTTTTTTAATTTTATTCTATATTATATTTTATTCCAACTATGGTTTCGTTGCCGGGAGAAGCTCCCCAGCCCCAGAGAGGTTCCCGAGGATGAAAGGGATGCAGGAAGGATGCGGGAGGGATGCGGGAGCAGCCCCGGCCCCGCCGGCAGCTCTGCCTCGCTCCTCCCAGGGCTTCTTCTCTGCCGAGGTGTCGGGAATGGGCGGTGCAGATTAAAAAAAAAAATTAAAATACAGACATAAATATATCTAAATATCTATAAATCCATCTAAACACAAATAAGGCGGCCCCAGCCCGAACCTTCCCCGATTTCTCCCATCACGCAGGAGGCAGCGGCGGGCGCTCAGTGAGCAACCCGCACCTGGCAGCTCGGCTTTAAAAGCGAAAATCGAGAGTTTAAAGTGAAATAATAACGCAGAGCTCGGTCTGGAGGGCTGGCACGGAGGGAGCTGCGGCTGCTCGGGGGGGTTTTGCTCCTTTTCCCCCCCTGCTCGTGGCAGGGAAAGGCAGGACGGCAATTTGGCTTCCCGGCTTTTCCAAACAAATCCATCCGTGCCACCCGAGCAGAGGGAAATAAATCCCCTGGAAATGTTAAACACGGAGCCCTGCCTGCCCTCCCGCTACCTGTTTCCGAGGGTATAAATAGAATTTCAGCATTTCGTCGCCAGTGAACGCTGCAGATCGAAGCGCTCAATTTGAGCCGAAATAAGAACTTTTTATTTTAATGGCCATATGGCAGCACTTTCTCAAAGGCTTCAAATGTATACACACAGTGTCAGATATATTTTGACTTCTCCGCATTAATTAAAAGCAGTGATGTTAGGAATTATTTGCATGTAATAACTGTTTACTTGTTCCTCTTTATGAAACTTGAATAGTTTACATTCTTTCATACATTTCCTTTTTCCTGTTGGCTCCTTCTCCATGTTGCAGTTTCTTTAAAACTCTCCACTTAACTGGTTGCAGGTTGATGGATGGAAAATGTTTTTCTTTTATGAATTAAGCTTTCATTTCTGTAATCAATTATTCTCTTAAGCTCTTTTCTTTCTGGTTGGGCTTTTTTCCTTATTTTTTTTTCTTCATCCTCGCACAAATTTCCAAACTGAACGCAACCCAATCTCAGCGTGACTCTTGAATTCATTATTAACTTGCTTCCTCTGCACTCTCAAGCTCGGAATTAGCAGGAGTTGTGTCTCATAAAGTGAATAAACTCCTTCCCCGGGCAGAGCAGCGGCGGCACCTCCGCTGCCTCTAACGGGCGGGACTCGGGCGCTAATTATTTTAATTTTTTTTTTTTTTTTTTACATATTCGTGTGGGGTGAGGCTGTGTCATACTCAGAGAGGAACAGCCCCACCGGGGCTCCCTGGGGCCGGCCGAGGGCGGCTCCGTGCGCTTTTCTCGCCGTGTCACGGGTGGATTTCACTCCCCGTGTCTTTCCCACAGAGCAATTTGCTGTGAAAAATCGCCCCTATTGAATTTTTATTCCGGGTGTCACACTCCCTCTGCCTTGTTTGGCTCCAGCCCTGACAGCCCGGTGCTGCTTTCATTTATTCTGGCAGAAATTTGGAGGCGCTGTGGAATATTTCCCCGTGTGTGTACAAATGTTTGTGTAAATCCGAAGCGAGGACGTGTGGATCCGTAAACACGGATCCTTCTCCAGCCCTGCCGTGTGCCCGAGCTGCAGGAGCCTGGAAAAGCCCGGCAGCCCTGCTCTCCTTGGGAAAACACCCCTTGAACCGGGCCAGATTTGGGGATTTTTAGTAATAAGGTGTCAGGGATTATTCCCCGGCGCTGTGAGCTGGGAAGAGCCGCTCCTAACTCCCCCCATAAAAAAATAAATTCCCATCTCCATGTGCAAGACAAAAATGAAAAAATAATCAGATTTTTTTTTACTCAGATTGAGCTGTATAAAATGAAAATTATCCCTGCTGCATCCCCGCCTGTTCTCCCAGCTGGAATCTCCCCCTGGAGCCGGCGGGGCTCCCAAACCCGCCCGGGAGCCGCGGTGCAGCCCCGGGGAAGCGGAGCCGGGGCACGGTGGGGATGAGAAACCCCAGCCCGGCTTCCTGAGAAGGCGGGAAATGACTAAAAGTGATGCTGGGGCAGAATCGTCATTTTCGGTTCAGGGCTGGGTTTTTGAGAGAGGCAGAACCGGCCCGGGCTGGGTTTGTGTTTGCAGCGAGGGACTCCGGGGCAGGGAGGTTGTTTCAGGTGGAGAATAAAAAATTCAAGATTATAATAATAATAAATAAATCACTATTAATGCAGTTTTAACAGGAGCACGGAGGTGCAGGGCTCAGCTCTGGGGTTCTGTGCCTCACAGCCGGGTTTTGCCGCACGCTGCCCTGCAAACCTTTCAAATTCCCTAAATAATCGTTTCTCATCAAATTCCCTAAATAATCGCTCCTCATCAAATTCCCTAAATAATCGCTCCTCATCCTCCTCACCCCGTGCTCTGGCTCTGCGAAGGTTTTACCCCCAAACTTTCGGTGTTGGTTGTTTTTTCCGTGATCCTCCACGGGCTCATCCCGTCCCTGCAGGTTGGCAGCAGGGGCTGCATCCTCGGGGATTCAGAATGAAATAATTCTAATTTTTTTGCCCTCCCAAACGCTCCTCTCTGTGCAGAAAACGAGCTGAAGGTTTGTGCGTTGTTCGGTCCTGGTTTGAAAGCCGAGGTGAGGCGGGGTTGGTGATTTCTCTCGTCTTTAGAAGCCGCATTCCCTCCTTTCCGTGCTCCCTGGAGCAACTCTCCCACCTGCCATAATTCCAGGATGTTCTCCGGGAGAGAAAATTTCATTTTTCCGGTTTATTATTTTTTTTTTTCCCTCCTAGCTGGATAAATCCTGTTTTGTTTTGCTGTGGATATTCTCAGGTCCGACCCTGTAGAGAGACGATGGTCGGGATCTGAAAACCCCTGATTGCTTCAGGGGAAAAGGGAAAGGAGGTGGTTCCTTACTGCTTTTATCTGTGGAATAAAGGCTGGAGGAGCAGAAATCCATCACACCGAGGTTTATAGCTGATACCCTGCCGGGGCTCAGACCTCTGATACCTTTGGAATCCCGCAGGGATTGCTGCTGGGGCTTGGTCAGAGTTTGGGGTTTGTGCAGCCTCCTTCCTCTAGCCGAGGGTTTCCTGAATTTGGGGAGCCTGAGGGAGAGCTGAGGCCCTTCCTGGGGGGTTTCTGTTCTCCCACAGCCTCCCCTGGGCTGGACATCGAGCTCCAGCCAGGCCAGGGGGCTGGGGTGAGGCTGCCCTGGCTGTGAGAGGTGAAGGGTTTGGGGTCAGGGTGGGCCCAGGGCTGGTGACACCCGCTCTGATTATAAAGGCATTTTCAGGCTGCAGATGGAAACTTGTTCTGCTGGGGCAAGAGGGGCTCTCCTTGCAAAATTTGGCTCCCAGGAGCTTTTCAATGCTTCATTCTTTTATTTTATTTTTTTTTTTTTTTTCATAAAAGGGGACAGGTTGGTGCTTCAAAAGCACCTCTGAAATGCTCCGGGTTTTTTTTTTTTTTTTTTTTTTTTTTTTTTTTTTTTTTTTTTTTTTTTTTTTTTTTTTCCATAAATGGTGACAGGCTGGTGCTTCCAAAGCACCTCTGAAACCCTCCCCGGAGGTATCCAAAGCCTTTCCCAGCAGCAGATTCCTGCTCTCTGGGCAGGGCTGGGAGAGGGGACAGTCCCTGCAGAGCTCTCTGTCTGGTGGCCTGAGCCGGCCGGATTCAGTTCCCATTTTGCAGTTCCCAGTTTTTGACCCTCCCGTGGGTGCCCTCACGGCCGAGGCCGCTCACAGCTCCCTCCAAGGGGGAACACGCACAGGGACCAAGCCCTGATCCCCTGAGGCTGATCCCGGCTCCATCCCAAGGGAGCATCCCAAGGGCTCTCCCCGGAGGGGATCCCGCATCCAGCGCTCATCCAGGGCTGGCTCCCCGCGGAAAAGGGGAAGGGTCCGAGAGGGAAAACCCCAGGAGGCTGCCCTGGATGGAGGGGCCGATACGGGAGCAGGGCAGGGCAGGGGGAAGAGTGACTTTTCCGTGCGGGAAGGTCCCGGCTCCGCTCTGAAGCGGCTCCAGGGCTGTGTCTGGGCAATCGCGGCTCGTTAAATGCAATGATGTGTGCGGGATTCCTGCCCCAGCCCGCTCCCGCAGCAGCCTCTGTCTCCCACAAGAGCTGAACCCATGTGGGATCCTCACTTCTCTTTGGTTTTTTTTTCCCTCCCTCCCCATCCTCCTTAGGGAAAAGCTTCACCCTGACCATCACCGTGTTCACCAACCCCACCCAAGTGGCCACCTACCACCGAGCCATCAAAGTGACCGTGGACGGACCCCGGGAGCCCCGCAGTAAGTGAAGGGCTGGCCTTGGGGCTTGGCAGCTCTGAGAATTGTGGGGAGGGGGTGCAGGCTCCGAGCTCTCCGTGGCTGTGGGATGCAGCACAGGGAGCTCAGGGATGGATTTGGGGTGGCACCGTTGGATTTTCCCGTGTGTCCCTCCCTCCCTGCCGGCCTCCCATATCCCATCACTGACCTGAGGGATGGTTTGTAGCTCCCTGACCCATCTTGGAGCGATAATTGCACAGCTCCAGGTTGGGATTTTGGAAAAACTCTTTGGCCCATCACGGAGGGATGGTTTATAGCTCCCTGACCCATCTTGGAGGGATAATTTCACAGCTCCAGGTTGGGATGTTGGGAAAACTCTTTGGGCTTCCATGGCAAAAGCAGGAAGGGCCCAGCCTGGCGCTGCACAAGGGGGCTTGGGGGTTATGAAACCAGAGATCTGTGCTCGGCTTCGGGGGGCTGATTGCTGGCGATTAAACCAAAAACGGTGCAGGTTCCCTGGCTGCTGAGGCGGTGTCTTCTCTGGCACTGAGCTCCTTCCCCTCGGCTTCGCGGTGGTTTCGCTTTCGGGCTGTCAAAGGCTGGGGCTGGCAGCGCCCGCGGCCGGGGGCTGAGCCTGGAGAAACCAGAGAGACTCTGCGACCGCAGAAGCGTCTCTGTTGTGCTGGGGAGGCTCTCCCGGGGGCAGGATGGTGCCTCGTGGTTGAGGGAGGCTCCGGGAGCTGCCCTGCCTGGGCTGCCTTTCGGCGTCGGGCTGCTCGGAGCTGCCCAGGGAGCCGCTGCCCGCAGGAGTTTCCTCTCGCCACGAGGTTTTTTTTTTTGCCCTGTGGGACCCCCCTGTGTGGTGGGATCCTGTCCCTGGGGGCTCCGTCTCCGGCTTCGCCTTCCTGCTCGCTCAGCACCACGCCGGGACTATAAAGCCGAGTTTGTTCCCTTTGCGTGTCAGGCTGCAGTGCCCACATCGAGGGAAAGCGGTTTGATCCTTCCAAAAACGCCTCCAAAAACATTTGCTGTTGATGCTGTCGCTGGGCCATCGGTGCCCTTGATGTCAGGCCAGGTGGAGGCTGTTACCTCGGCCAGGGGGTTTCATTTGCATCGGGTTTTGGAGGATTTTTCCCCCCTCCTTGATTTTATTTTGGAACCTGTCGAGGATGGATTTAGAAGCTGGAATGCAGGAAATCCAACGCTGCTGTTGTGGGGGTTTTTTTAAAGCCAGAAACATCAGGCAGGTCCCTGGTGTGGGGCACCTGTGGGTCGTGGTGGGTGCTGGGGTTCAGCCCCAGGGCTGGGCAGGGAATTTCACAACTCTGCCAGGAGTGTCAGGAATAGAAACCAGCCCTCCTGACTGCTGGCTCAGCCCCTTATCAGCTGCATCAGATCGCCTTTCTAATAATAATAATAATCATCCTCATCATCCTCATCATCAGGAATACATAAATAATAATACAAGGTGAGATAGTTGCTACTCTTGGAGCTCGGTTTGGCCTCCCCGACAGCCAAACCCTGGTGAATCACACCTGCTCCTCCTGAATTTCAGCATTTCACCCCAGAGATCCCCATCCCTCATTTCGGTTTTCTGATACGGAGGCCGTGGCAATCAGGGGATGGAGCAGCTTGTCCTGGCTCTGCTCTGGGGTGCCCTCCCTGGGACACAGCCCAGCTGCAAGGGCAGCGTTTTTCTGGGGTTTTCTTCTTATTTTTGTGATGATTTGTGGACGTCAAATTGTGCTGGAAGTGTTGGCTCCTTGAGGAGATCTGCGTGGGGTTTATTTGCTGCTTGTGCCCTTGCCTTGTGTGGCTCCCAGAGGTTGATCTCTCCCCCATTCCTGCACCCTCCAACCCATAAATCTCTGATAGAAAAGGTTTAGACCCAAATTGTGGCTATTTTGGAATTTTTTTTCAGGGAATCCTAGATTTATTGGTCATGTTTTGGCTCCCAGTTTGACCCTGGGGCTTGAACTCATGGTTGACAACTTTCCAATGGGAAAAAAACATTTTTAAATAATTCCTTTCTTGCCACACTTTCGAATGAAGACAACAACTAAAAAAAAATGCAATAACCTTTCTTCTCCCCTTCCTGCTCTGCAGAAACCCTGGGTGTGGAAACAGCAGCTGTAAAATGATCCTGGAAAGCCGAGGTGCTTTTCCTGGTTCACCTGCCACTGGGTGGCTCCCGGGCACAGCACCCTGGCAGTGCCAGCATTGGCATCTGGGGTGGCATTTGGGGCTGGCACAGCCCTGGTGATCCCCACCTTGGGCCAAACACCGAGGCTGGGGCTGCTCTGCCTTGTTTGGCTGTGGGAGGTGAGAGCTGCCAGCAGGAATTGCAGTTTTTATTATATATATACATACTAGGTACACTTTTTAACATGTATATGTTAATGTGTGTGTGTGTATATGTGTGGGCATAAAAATATACAGAATTTTTTCTTCTTTTTGGCTTCAAAAGATGGGCCATGGTGTGTAGTGTGAGGATCAGCACTGGGCAGGGCTGGAGGCTGATGTGGGGCTGGTGGAGAGGACAAAACCCATCCTTAATGTGGAAAGAATTGGCCATTTGTCTTGGTACCCTGGGAAAGGCCCAGGCAGCGTCTTCTCAGCTGCAGCAGAATCCCTCCAGCCAACGTCCTTGTGGGGTTTGGGGCCAGGACTGTGGCTGGGCTCCACCTCTGGGCATCCCATTCATCCTCCACCCCTGGCCCATCGCTTCATCTCAGCCCTTGAGCGAGGCTTTCAACTCGGGCTGAGCCCAGATCAAACTCCTGAGGATCTGAGAGCGGGTGGGGATGGCTGGGAAGTGCAGGGTGAGGGGCAGAGCCTGCCGGGGCAGGGGGAGCAGGAGGAGGCTCCGTGGGGGTCCCTGGGGGTGACACCAGCGGTGCCTTCCCTTCAGCATCTCCTCCTCAGGCTGCTCCAGTGCCCCCTCGCTCCCAGCTCTTTTTCCTTCTGCTCCAGCTCCTTCTGGGTTAGATCTGGACAGGAAAAAAAAGGACATTCTGTCAAGTTGGCACCTTAGCTCTAAACAAATAGCACAGCGGGTGCCAAGTGTTGACATACTTTGTACAAACAGGAAGTAATAAAATATTTGAACTTCCTGTGGAATTTCCTTCTTTTCCCCCCCTTTTCTGCAGCCCTGTGTTCAGCAGGAGCCCTGCTGCAGAACCCTCTCACAGCAGGCAGGACGTGGGGAGCTGAGGGGCTGGGGGCTGCACAGGGGTGTTCAGCCTGTTCCTGGGGAAGAGGGAGCATCCCCAGGGCCTCCCCTCACACCCACCTGCTGCCTGCCTTCCCTTCCCCTTCCCTTTTCCTTCCTTTCCTTCCCAAGGCTCTCACCTTCTCTGCTCTCACTTTTCCTTTCTCCCTTCCAGCCCCTTTTTGCCCAGAACTCTTGTGCAAAGTCTTTTTTTCCCCTTTTAAATTAATTTTCTCCCCTCTTGAACTGTATTTTTTATGCTACCATTCACTTTTTAACCTCTTTCCACGCTTTCTAAATCTGGATTTAATCCTTTCTTTCTGACTCCCACCCTGTTGCTGCTGTCCTTGTTGGGGAGGAAAGGGAGACCAGGAGGATTTGTCACCCATGGGGTCCCTGTGTCCCCATGGGTCCCCTGCGTCCCCCCTGTTCCCTGCTCAGCCCTGTGGACGTGCTGGTTGTTGGTTGCCCCTGCCCTGTCCATTTCTGGGGTGTGCATCAGAGATTTGGTGCTTTTGGTCGTGTCCCTGCTTGGTGTGACCACAGCAAGTGACAGAAACGTGTCCCCAGCGTGGCTTGGACCGGGAGGAGGGGGGCTTGTGGCCACAGCACTTCACATCCCCTCTCCCACCTCCTCCCTGCAGCTCTTTCTGGCTGTGCCCATCCTGCCCAGCCCCAGGTTCCCTCCGTGGTGGCTTTTCCCTCCCCAAAAAAGGCTCCTTGCCCCCCCAAGCTGCGGCTGTCCCCGGGCAGCGCTGTCCCTGTCACGTAGCCAGCGGGTGGGAAGGCTTCTCACCTCCCCCGTGCGAGCGTTTCCAGGAACCGCCGCTGCTCTTTGGCTTTCGGGCTTCTGAGAGCCTCAGCTGAGCGAGGGTTTCCCTCCCACGAGGGCTCACAGCCCTGTGCTCTGAGCGGGGAAAGGGCAGCTTGGGGTGTGCAGAAATTAAATGGGGAGTTTGGGATGTGCAGAAATTAAATGAGGAGTTTGGGATGTGCAGAAATTAGGAGTTTGGGATGTGCAGAAATTAGGAATTTGGGGTGTGCAGAAATTAAATGAGGAGTTTGGGATGTGCAGAAATTAAATGGGGAGTTTGGGGTGTGCACAAATGGGGAGTTTGGGGTGTGCAGAAATTAAATGAGGAGTTTGGGATGTGCAGAAATTAGGAATTTGGGGTGTGCAGAAATTAAATGAGGAGTTTGGGGTGTACAGAAATTAAATGAGGAGTTTGGGATGTGCAGAAATTAGGAATTTGGGGTGTGCAGAAATTAAATGAGGAATTTGGGGTGTGCACAAATGGGGAGTTTGGGGTGTACAGAAATTAAATGAGGAGTTTGGGGTGTGCAGGCAGGAGGAGTTTGGGATGTGCAGAAATTGAATGAGGAGTTTGGGATGTGCAGAAATTAGGAATTTGGGGTGTGCAGAAATTAGGAATTTGGGGTGTGCAGAAATGAAATGAGGAGTTTGGGGTGTGCAGAAATTAAATGAGTTTGGGGTGTACAGGCAGGAGGAGTTTGGGATGTGCAGAAACTGAATGGGGAGTTTGGGGTGTGCAGACAGCGGGGATTTGGGGTGTGCACAAATGGGGAGTTTGAGGTGTGCAGAAATTAAATGAGGAGTTTGGGGTGTGCACAAATTAGGAATTTGGGGTGTACAGAAATGAAATAAGGGGTTTGGGGTGTGCAGACATGAACAGTTTGGGGTGTGCAGGGGGTGGCACCCCCTTGTCCCTCCTGTGGAGATGTTTGTGGCATTGCTGTCCCCACGGTGCTGGTTGCCCTCACCTCATGTATTGTCAACTCTTGGCTTGAATAT